GACCTTGATATCCAAGATGAAGATGTAGAGAGGAAAGAAGAAGAAGAAGAAGAAGAAGAAGAGAGAAAGAAAGAAAGGGGAGGGGGGGAGGGGGGGGAGGGGGAGAGGAATCGTTTTCCCCCACTATCATCAGTTTTTTATTATTATAGTAACCGCCTCTTCCGGTTGACCGATCTTTTCAATGTGACGGAGCAGATGAGAGAGGGAAGGCATATAAGAGAGACGGAAAGTGGAAAAAAAAGAGGTAAAAACTTCCCATCTCCATATTCCCCCACCTTGATAACAATAATGGCTGGTGCTTTTTTGACTCGTTCGTACAGAGAGACAGGAGTATTATTATATACCAGTATTTTGAGTGTATGCTTCATAAATCAAAAAGAAAGTGACTGACACTTTTGACAAGGAAAGAACAGAAGAAAAGTCCGACCATTCTGACTCCCTAATCCGCGGTGCACCCGCCCCCCCTTCGCCAGTCCAGCGGTACGTACTAAGATACACGGGAGCCCACTGATCTGGATTCACGTGAGACTGGTGTCTATTTCCTTCAGACAATGTAGTTCCTTTTGACGTTAAATATAAAGTGCGTTATTACTACTACCATGTATTACTCGTAGCACGAGTACAGATTACTATCACTAGACCTACCGCCAAGTACCCGTGCAAAACATGTACCCAAGCGTCGTCATGTGCATATCATGCACACTCGCACATGCATACGCACACACACACACGCACACACACACGCACACACGCACACACACACACACCATTCCTCCGAGGCCCTTTTCTAAGGCGCGATAGTTGGGACCAACGATAACCAACCCAACATCTGATGAATGTACTCTGGCGGGGTCGTTTCTCTCTCTCTCTCTCTCTCTCTCTCTAGGGGTTCTTACGAGTATTATTTATTACAAGCAACGTTGGGTAGCATGAGTACATAGGACAGATAGGTAGAGTAGGCATTACTCGTCGCATCAAGACACATATGTACGGCGTACAGGTCTTACTTTGTAATACGGACCGTGGCCCGTGTGCTGCGCAAAAGGTAACCGCCTGTACTCCGTATGTGCACCGCCTATGTGTGCATGTAGGTTTCTCGGCTTTTCGGTGCGAATATACAGTAGATGTAGTCGTATGAAAGGCCTGTTAATACTTGTAATAGAAACGTCAGTCGGGGGGAGGGAGGGGGAAGTAACCAGTCCCTGGGAAGTGGTCACCTGCCCACTAATTGCCTAACTAGACCATGTCCGCTTTATCTACTTATTTTTCTCGTCTTACCCCGTAGAACTCTGTACTCGCAGAAAACTTCTACTGGTATGGTTACATAACCATGATTACCATATTATTCAGTATTATCGCAATATTTTCAGCAATACTATTTAGTCTTGTTTGATCATATTCTGCGAGAAAAGTATTAAAATAAAAAGGGAGAGAAAAAAAGAGAAGAAGAACGCTTTTAATATAGGTAGATTTATAGGAATCATTCTAATTTTTTTCTCCCAACTCAAGAGATCATGGCTGAAAGAGACGGTATCGGCGGTTGAAAAGTACCCATCTAGGGTAGTAGCCTTACGGAAGTTGTCTACAAGTACGGGCCGCAGGTACACCAAGTGTTGCTCACTATAACCAATCATAGCACATTCTTAGGTGGCCATTTCTCAAGGGGGGTGTGGCCGGTGGCCAACTTCTCCCCGACTGACCTTGTACCTTGTACGGGTTCAGCCACGACGTTACCGGTAATATATTACATAGTGGTCGTGACCTCAAATGATGTTTTTCATTATTACCAGGAAAGAGAGAGGCAGAGAGAGAGGGTGGGGAGTAGGATTGAAAAACCAAAGAAAACCAACCCAACCCAACCCCACCCCCCCCCCCCCCCCCCCCCCTCTTTCCCCCCTCTCTCCCTACTAGTGGTGACTGACGCATGGCGCTCAGCTCACGATACATATTAGTACTCGT